TAAAAGAAACAAATAAACAAAAATTACAAAAGAAAACGCGCTGTGCAAAAAATTTTATGAATTATTGAAATGATAAAGGAAATATGAAGGGACCTAAAGTGGTGTCAAGAGGGCGTCGCAGTTATATACATATTTTTAGTTCTTCTCCATTATATACATATGTACATATTTATTTTTGTTCTTCATAAGGTTAATAATAATAATAATTGTTGCTTTTGCCGCACTTTATTTATTTGTTACAAAAATTAAAAAAAAAAAAAAAAACAGAAAAACAAATAATGAAATTAAAAATAATAAAAGACAAAAATTAAATATATTTTTTTTCTTGTGTTTTGTTACAATATGCACAACATAAGACATTAAACTTTTATATATACCTATATGCAAATATATTATGATAACGCATACAGAGTGCTGTCACAAACTCTTGATTAATATCTTGCCGAGTTAATAATGTGCATGGTTTTGAATTCAAATAAGAATAAGCAGAAACCTGAATTGAGTCCAATTCATACTTAAAACTAAATCGGTTTCTATTCGTCTTTGAACCTATGCGTACGTTTCTGTCTTTTATACTGCGTTATATAAAGGTCAATGATTTATTTTAATATTAGATTATAAATAAATATGTAGCAGAATATAAAAAGAATAATAATCTCTATAAAAGGGAATTAAACGAGGATCACAATTGCAAATGATTATAATGAATACATATAGAACGGTATAACAATATCGATATTTATCAAACGAAATTTCTCTTTTATGTGTCAAATTCATAAGTGCATCAATTGTGCACTTAAACGGAATTTTTTTTATAAATGCGCGTTTCTCATTTAAATTTTAAAAAATTAGTTGAACTGATTAATATAAATTTATCGTTTAACTTAATGGAAATTTCTTCATGCAACTGCAGAACGTAATCAAAGGAACGAGTTAAAGGCAGAAAAATTAATTAAAAAATTTTTCTTCTCGAACTGGACTCGAACCAGTGATCTACCGCTTTCTAGGCGGACGCTCTACCAACTGAGCTACAGAGGCATGAAGAAATTGCCGACGAAATGTTCTCTAGTCGACGAAATGATATATCGTATATATTATTTAAAATTAATATATTAATTCAATTTATTAATAAATATTCCAAAATTAATCCTTATCAATTATTTTTATTATTATATTACTTTTCCTTTCTCAATTTCATATATTGTATATACATACATACATATGCATGTAATATTTCGAAATGATTGGTAAGACCAATTATAAAACTTTCATAAGCAAATCTAATATAATAAAATTTATAATAGTGTTATATTCTATAATAATGTATATGTATACAATTCCACCTGCATTCATAAATATATATATAATATATATATGTTAGTTTGTAATATTTATAATAATAATTATATTATTATATACTTTAATATTAATAATGGTACATATAAAACTGTACTATATGTACATATATATACAGGGTGTTCGAGACTCAATGGTATTGCAGGAACAGGGAAACATTTTTTTGGGCCCTTGTTCTCGTGTTATAAGGCCTCAAAGTTGGAATTTATAAAAACCGTCTATTTTTCGAGTTTTTATTTATAACTCGGGAAATATGACAGAAAAATTCAACTTTGTATGCTCATTTTTTAGCTAGTAAAATTCTTCTAACGGTATACCAGTGATTGCAAAGACTTTTTTTAATTTCATAATCAAGAGCAAAGACAAAATTTTCCTAAAATTTTTACTAAATTTTCGTTTAACCCTCGTTTTACTCATAATTCCACGTTATTAATCCATCGTTCTTTTACAGGAACAAGAGCCTTATATTGTAATCTTCATTTTAATATAAGTTAATTTTATTTTTATACCTGTGGGAACGTATGTTCGAAGGGTATAAAAAAATTTGCCTTACCGTTTGTAACGCTAAGAAATAATGTTCTGAGCTATAGGCTCAAGAGTATGTTTTTGGCCAGCGTCGAATTCTAGTTCGATTTAGCTTCGTCTGCCCGTTAGTCCGTCCGTCCCAACGATAACTCAAAAACTAATTGAGCTAAGTTCACCAAATTTTCCCAAATTATTTATTATAGTAAATGACAGAACTCTATTCAAATTGGATATGATGGAGGTATTGGTTCGGATAGCTGCCATACAACTTCAAAATTTATTTCACAATATCTTAGAAACTATAAATGCTTTTGTATTGAAATCTCACACAAACGAATATATTAGTAGGGCTAATGTGTTTGATAAAAGTTGTTGAAATTGCTTTGTTCCTTATGATAACTGCCATACAACTTCAATTGTAGTTTGGCGATATCTTAGAAAGTATATTGAAAACACAGTACTGAAATTTTGCATAAATTAATATGGTAATACGGCAGCTTAAAGTCATAGTTTGTCCGATAGTCAGCTATGACGTATTAAATCGCATATGGGATTTTATTCGTCTGAATTCATTCTATCACCTTTTACGGAAATACCATTGAGTCGCGGACACCCGGTATATATGAAAATATATATAAGTATAACAATACAAGAGCGCATAAGAATGGAAAGAAAAATATTTTTTTTTAATTTCAAGTTTCTTTTCCATCTATCTTATAATATGCTTTAAATAATATAAATAATGAATGAAATAAAAAATATAAATATAAAACAAAACATTTTTACAATATTATAGAAGAATGAAAAAAAAATAAAACAATTTTCATTTTTTAAATTATGAGTATATTTTATAATATGTATAGAAAAAATAAAAACAAACTGTATAAGTTTTGTGTAGAAATGTTGGTGTATATTTGAAAAATTTTCTATAATTATTTCTATATATCATATTTAATTTGACAATTATGTAAATCTATTTTGGCATATCGCATTTTTAATTTTTCATCTTATAAAAATTTTCATATTTTAATATAAACGAGAAAAAATAGAGTTGACCGTGTCAACTCTGCGATACCCATTCGAATTTGTTATCCTATGTGCGAATAAATATGCCATAGTTGACTATGGGACAGACTATGACTTTAAGTTGTCGTGTTACCATATTATTTTATGCAAAATTTCGGTATTGTGTTTTCAATATTTTCTAAAATTTGGCCAAACTACTATTGAAGTTGTAAGACAAGAGCCAAGGAATTTCAACGACTTTTAACAAACACAGTGGCCCTGCTAATAAATTCGTTTGTGCGAAATTTCAATATCACAGCTTTTACAGTTTCTGAGATATAACCAAAAACTTTTGCAGTTGTATGACAGCTACCAAAAAGAGCTAAACAATTTCAACAACTTTTATCAAACAAATTGGCCCTACAAATTTTATAGTTCCTAAGATATAGTTAAATAAATTTTGAAGTTGTAGCTACCCGAAGCGGTGCCCGATCATGTTAAATTTTAATAGGGTTCTGGCACTTATTACAATTAATCATTTATGAGAATTTGATGAACTTAGCCCAATTAGTTTTTGAGTTATCGTTGGGACGAACGAACGGATAGATGGACAGACAAGGCTAAATCGATTCAGAATTAGACGCTCATGAAAAACATGTGAGTGTATATCTCAGACCATTATTTCTTAGCGTTACAAACGGTTTGGCAAATTTCGTATACCCTTCGAACGTATGTTCGTACGGATATAAAAATATAATATAATATATGAAAGTTACAGGGTTTTTGCATTTTTGATTTCGATGGAACGGAATCGCGCTTCGTTCATTCGAAAGGAATATAAATGAAATGAGTCGGACGGATGGAACGGGCTGTACGGAACGGAATTACTTTCTTTTTGCTATACTCTTTCAAAAGCTCATTGTATTACATACTCTTTCAGCTCTATTTTATTCTTGTAACTCATTTTTTATACAACTATTTTCGATTAACTGCACTAAACCACGCTGACTTGATTTTTCTCCTATTATACAACGAAAAAACTGTAACAAATCTTAATCACAATATAAGCTGTTCTATATATTCATAAAAATTTCATTATTGCACTAACTACTTTACTAATAGTTTACTGATGATATTTTTAAACAAAATAGATTTTCAAAATTTTGTATATAAATATAAATATAGTGCATTTTCCACTATATGTCATTTTGAAAAAGACTTTTATAATATCGAAAAGCCCAGTTAATTGAATCAAAAAGTTTTGTATTTTGTTTTGGCGTTATTAATCAAGGGGGCAACTGGATAATTAGACGAGTCAATATTAAATGGAATGAAATGGAACGAAACGCTAACAGGATGGAATGGTGCACATACAACGCTACAGAACATTGTTGAATTTACATATTGCGAATATAGCTGTAATAGACTGCAAAACACAAAATTTGTAAATTTAAAAAATAACCCTGTATTAAAAATTTAAAAATTGAAATATTTAAATTTGGTAAAATTTATTATATATATATATATATATATTTGAAGACATTGTATGTATAATATAAAAAAATAATAATAATAAAAATTAAAAAAATAAAAAGTACTCCTTTTGAAATATTTTTGACATGATTATAACCTTCCGCATTTGTTATTGTTGTTGACCTCTTTTTATTTTATTTTAGTTATATAAATATGTATATATAAAAATATTATTATTATTGTTATATTTTTGATTATTTTTCTTTTTACTATAAAAAAATAAAAAAATTCAAGGTTTTGATATTTTAAAATTCATCAATATACCCTTAAATTCGCCTACATATGCTGCGAAATATGATTTATGTAATTTCCGAACCTGACGTACAAGCATTTAAAACTTCACTTTCCGAATTATTGCACTATACTTTACCCATTTTTGTACTTACCTAATAGAAAAAGTAAATTCCAAACAAATTTCTGGATATACGGTAGAAGAGGTTTTGTGAAATTAATACCAATATGCTCATGCAATCCAGCTAGGTTTGTGATTCGAAAATTTTAAAATTCATACAATATTTATTTAATTAACTGAATTTCTATAGAAATTTTTAATATTTTTTTATATTTTTTTTTCATTTCAGGTAAGTCTTCACAGAAAATAACTTTATTTAAAAGAAAAAAATTAATGGGTAATTTAAATTTTCCTAAAGGTAAAAAAATTTTTCTTAATAATTAACTATATTATTTAAATAAATATTAATATTGCAATAATTACAATTTTTTTTATGTTTCACGGCAATGTTAATTTATAATATTAAAAGTATATGATTGTTTATAAAATGTTCAAAAACAATATGATAATAAATAATGATGATTCCAATAACACATTTGCTTGAAAATGAGAATTTGAGTTTAAATTGGCGTGATTGCAGTACGGTAATTTTTGGTAGTCATTTAAATATATAAAATAAATATTAGACTTAAAGTACTAAGGTACGTCTTAGTTTAAAGTCACTAAGATCAGATTTCTGATAGTGTATAACTAGCTGAAACATAATTGCTCTGCCTTTTCTAACATACCTTCTTTAACTGCTTGAAAAGTACTTGCTTTTCTAGTAAACTGTCAATTTCAAATAATTAATTAAAACTAGAATTACATTTTATGAATTTTCTTATATTCTATAATTGTTAATCTAATTGCAAAAGAATTTTCGTTGAAGAAATGAAAACTCATAAGTATTTATTATTTAATTCGAAACCATAATTAATGTAATATATTAAAATATTTTATTTTTGTATAACAATATTCAAATAAAACATCTCAAGTTCAATCACAAGTTGAATTTATTTTCAAATACTTTAACATTTATTATACAAAATGCAGGACAAAAATATATGGAAGAGCTTAAAAATTTAATTTTTTTTTAACCAACAGAAAAACAAAAAACAAAATAAAATAAAAATAAAAATGTAATGATCCTTTTTGTCCTTTAAAACAACAATCGCTATTTTTTTTTTTTGTTATACAATATTTATTTCCATCTTATGTAAAAAAAAATCTAATAAATTCAGTCCATACAAGAGACTTCTCTTTTTTCACTTTATAACAATATGCAAGAAAAAAATATTAGTGTTACCGTATTGAATTCAATGACCACCTACTTATATACCTAACTTCCAGTATTTATCCTGTAATTAAAATAAATTGTTACAAAAACTTTTAATTTAAAACGAGAAAAAATAGAGTTGACCGTACGAATATTTGCTATCCTATGTGCGAATAAATATGTCAAAGCTAACTATGGGACAGACTATAAACTTTAAGTTACCATATTAATTTATGCAAAATTTCAGTACTGGGTTTTCAATATTTTCTAAAATATTTTCTTCAAATAACTTTTGAAGTTGTATGGTTGCTATCAGAAGGAGCCCAGTAATTTCAACGACTTTTATCAAACACATTGGCTCTACTAATATACTCGTTTGTGTGAAATTTCAATATCACAACTTTTATAGTTTTTGAGATATAGTCAAATAAATTTTGAAATTACGTGGCACATATCCGAACCAGTACCTCCATCATATCCAATTTGAATAGGGTTCTGGCATTTACTAGAATAAATAAATTGTAAAAATTTAGTGAACTTAGCTCAATTAGTTTTTGAGTTATCGTTGGGACGAACGGACGGACGGGCGGACATACAAAGCTAAATCGAACTAGAATTCGACGCTGGCCAAAAATAATACTCTTGAGCCTATATCTCAGACTATTATTTCTTAGCGTTACAAACGGTAAGGCAAATTTAATATAACCTTCAAACATACGTTCTTAAACCTTAATTCTTAAACCAGCATATAATTTTTAACCTTAAATTTCTAATTATTAAATTTTTTTCATAAAATTTACCATAAAAATTTTATATATAGTAATTTATTTCTATATTCAAATGAAAGCGGCCACACTAGAAATTGCTGCTTATATGTATATGAAAAAAACTGTAAATAAAACTAAAATATCCTTTTTAAAAAAGAAAAAACCAAATAATAGTCTTGTTTTTATTCTCTATGGAAATTAACAATAAAAAAAAAAAAAAAAGAATTTTTTTTTTATTACCCCACTGTTGAACATATTCTTTTTATTTTAACCCCTTTAAGTCAATTTTATGGCTAGCAAAATAAAGTGATATATATAAAAGGGCAAAGGCTCCGTTTAACAGCAATAACACAACACTTTTTTTTTTATTTTTTTATATTGGGATTTCTTTGTGGTTATACGCTTTTACAATGATAATATTGATAATAATAGTAAAATCAATATTATTTTAAATTATTTTTATTGGAAACAACAATTGGAAATAACAAGCGCATTCAACAAATATTTTTACAAGGAAAATTTATATATACCTTATATATATAAATCGCGAATCCCATGTTAAACGAAACAGAATATTCCACAAACAAAATGTAACATAGAAGAATCAATAAAGATTATTGAGCCCCAATAACATATACTTGAGGATATTTTGAAAAAACTGATTTCGGGAATGTATTCAAAATATCGTGATATTCGATACTTATTCGAAATCGGGTAGGAGTGCTACATATATTTTAATTATTTTAAACTTAAATAAAAATATAAACAAAATCAAAATTGAAAAGTTTCAAATTTATCAATAATAGAAACGTTTCAAGTCACACAAAATATAACCAAAATATAACCAACAACGAACAACGGTGCAACGTTTCCAAAAAAAAATTAATTATTTTTTCTATTCTTCTCAACAATCTAGAATATCAATCTAGTGACCCTAAATATTATATAAAACTATTGAGGTGAATTGAGTAAGTTCTCATTATTTCTAACATTTTAAGAATATTTGCTTCATTTTTTTGGCCAAATTTTTCGATAACTAACATGAAGTATCCGAAAAATATTATGTACATTATGTATATACCTGTATACTCATGTATAATGACGGTAATATTCTAAGAATTTCAAAAATTTAAAGTAATTTCATTTAAAGGGCACACTTTTTAACAATAAAAAAAAAGGGAAGAAAAAAAAACAAAGGCAAAAATTTATTTTTAATGTGGTCAATATTTTTTTTATACAATCTATAAGTACATAATAACATCCTTCTTTTCTTAATAATAATTTTCATTTTGACAAATCGATTTTATTTTTATTATATGAGGTTGCATTTATACAATAAGAAAATTCTTTATTTTTCCTTCCTTTTTTTTTTAAATTCCCCAGAATATTGTATAAAAAAGAAGAGCAATTTACCTATATAATATTCCGTAAGATTTGAAAAAACATTTAACCCCTCAATTTTCAATTCTCAATTAGGATTTAGGGATTATAATTGATCGTTCTACTAAACAATATTTTCAACAAATCTTAACTTTAACACCTGAGATTCATGCTGACTGACGCATGTGAAAAGCAAACATGAATGGAAAAATGGAAAACGATTTTCGGATTAATGCGTAATGCAATTTTATCGATTTCTTGCGATAGCAACGTCTTGGATTTTGAAACGAATGAAAGCATTCATCGATCACAATTCCAAATTGTGGCGAATTTTTCAAATTCATTCGCTTCGCGATCATGATTTGAAGTTGTGAGATTACAACTTCAAAAAAAAAACAGAAACGTAGTTTCTGATGCACAAATTTTCATTTTTTTTTTATTTTCATTTTCCCCACACTTGTAAAAAAGTATTGTGTATTTTAACAAAATATAAAATTTCATTCTAAAATATTTTGTATATGTGGATGAATATTATCACTCATTTCAGAAAGAAAGAGAATTTCCCTAAAAATAGAAAAAAAAAATAAGAAAAAAAAGAAAAGAATTTTGTATAATTGAAAAATATTTTTTGTTCAAGTGCGCAACAGATAAAACAGATAAAATAAAGCAGAATTACAAGAAAATTAGTTCCCGTGGGTCCGACTTTAAACTCCCCTCCCCCATTCTATCAACAAAAAAAAAAAATGTAAAATAAATCTATATGAGTTATATGAGCCACATTTTTTTTTAAACTACATTAAATTTTATAAAATTTGAGTAAATGAATGTTTATTTTCATTTTTTTACCGACCGCAATTGCATACAACAAGGGAGGTTATGTAATGCCAACAAATTTGGCTTATCGAGTTTGCAGTGGGAACGCATTCTTCCGTAGTAGGGAAGCAAAAATCAATCATTATGAAGAAAATATTCAACAGATTTACTAGGAATTTCATATATAAGCTTCGCTCGACCGTCCGCGAAACCTCCTAACTTTTGGAAGAAACCAGGCGTCAGCCACTGGACGTTTACTACGGACCAGATATACATTTTTGCGTATATAAAGAGGAATAATCAACCGATTTCATTGAAATTTAATATTTAAATTCGTAGTGTTAAAACAATGAATTAATAAAGTTTTTGGAAAGATAAGGGCTCGAAAACTGATCTTGGGGCCGATTTTGCATTTTTTTACCATATCTACAGCACGGATTGATTGAATTTCTTGAAATTTAATATTTGAGTTCTGGTTGTTAACGAAATTAACCGGTCAACTTTTCAGGGAATTCGGGTAGCACAAAGCGAAATTCTACTAAGAGCCAAATTTACATTTTTCTAGGTATGTTAACTATAAGCTTACTAATGCCCTGAAAATTGGAGAGAAGTATTTAACAGACATTTTTATAATATTCTGTTACACTTTCACTTAACTAGACAAAACGCATTGTGGTCGGTTATGTGCTGACCACATCAAATTTTTTTAATCTACGGTCACTAAAGGAAGCTCAATAAGTAAATATGAAAAAAATTTACAAGTTTAAACAATATGTTTAAGAAATATTTTCCATTCAAAGAACATAATATAATCAATTATTATGGCCAAACATGAAGGCTGCGTGTATAGTTAATTTTGGAAATTCACAATTGAAATAAAAAATAAATATGAAAATTATAAAAATTTACATGAATTTTAGGAATTGGTGTTCTATAAATTTGGTCTTTTTGAAAAAACTATAGTTTATTATGAAGATTTTCCAAAAATTATAAAGATTTGAATCTGAAATTGAAAATCAAATTAAGACATTTTTCGTTTAAAATATTTTTATATTATAAAAATTAATTCTGTAATATTGATCTTGAAATTTGATACAACCACAGATAATCAAAATTTTCATAATTATATTAAAAAATTTAATTTAAAATTTTCAATTTATTTGTTGAATTTTTGAATAAAAATGACAATATAGCTTAAGTGAGAACATTAATTTTTTCCAATTCAAAATGTGTTCGAATCTAGAATGAAATCCCAATCTAGAATGAACTTAAAGTGAACTTAAAAATGTGACCTTATCTATATATTCATTACCATGTTAAACAATTTTTGAAAGCACTAACAATACAGCACTGCAATAATTTTAATAATGCGACATTGTGTGTACCATTTAAAAAAAATTTGCAAAACTATATACTTAGTTTTAATTTTCTAAATTTCTAAAATTATATTTGACAAGTGCATGTAGAATATACGCATACACATATATATATATATATATATACATATATAAATATTT